AAATAAACCTAAATAGACAGTATCTGCATTTTCATTAGGGTTCAAACTGAAATCGCACCTATAGAAAATTCTAATGAACGTAAAAACGTTTTAAGCTCTAATGAAGCTGTTTTTTTCAGGCAATTCATTTTTGCAGTGTTAACAGTTTTTAGAGGTCACTTGCTGTTAATGAAAGTCGCATGTTTATTTTTTGAAGATGCTGCTGTATGTTTGCACAGAAGATGAGACTAAACAGAGATGGCTCTGTGCTTATTAGTAGAAACTGGCTCTTTTTGGCGTGAGGCAGCAGGCGCTACTGCATTGGACAACTTTAAAAAAGGTTGATCTGTTACACACTACCTCTGAAAAACTGCACACTATAACCTCCCAGAGACACCTCATACAGGGCCACACATGTACAAAGGACTTTCTTTGCCATTAAAGCTTAGATAACAAGCATACAGTACATCTTCTTTGATTAAAAGTTATAGGTCATTTGGTGTCTGTGATATACAGTACATGAACTTACCAACATCCGTCCCCATTATTTTGGAATAACTATTAAAAAATACATAGTTGGAATCAGTCGTTTTGCACTAGCTTATTTTAATTGACGTATAGAAAATACATACATTTTCACAGCAGTTTCTACTTGTGATTCTTAATTCCTGGTGTGAACAGCATTTTATTCTTTATTATAATGCTGAAATACATTCATTAATTTAATGCGTTCAAAATAAAAGATGTTTTCTAGCTCCAGATTGATAATTAGAAAAACAGTGGGTTTTATTAAGTAATACCTGCTTCACTGCAGTCTTTACATACGGAATTTTCCTTCTTTCTAATGCCTTGAATCATCAACATGCCCATATTTTCCACTTATTTTGGTCAATAGTCTATGCTGATACCTGTTTATTTGAAAGTCGTTCATTTAAAGATGTAACATTTGTGTGTTTTTTTTTTAACAGGCTACAGTTGTGATCATTAAATCAAGTCAGTCATTAGTCATTAACACCCCTTACACACATCTGATTTATTGCAGGCTCATAATCAACAAGCCATCTTATTGGCAAAGCCTATCGACAGTATTATCCATTCCAGGCTGATGGCTATGATTAAGCTTTAATGATTCGTAGGCCTGTTCCAAAGAAGTTCTAAAAATACTGTGCATCCCTAGATAGCAGCATTCGTAGTAATGACTTTTTATTGCATTTAAAAATCAGGAACAACCAAAATTATAACAAAAGCGCAAACTTGTGGATGAATCATGACTTCTGTGTGAAAACATTGACACATGGGTTTTTCTGGAAAAACAAAATGTGCATATTCATGGTCAGTGAAAGAAACCCAGTGAGAAGGAAGGGGAAGTGAGAGAGAAATGGAAAATGTGATGCAATAAAGATTAGAAGGTCAGCTTTAACTTTGAACTGCTTTGATTTCAACCAAATATTCTAATTCAGATCATTAACTACTCTTCCTGCATGTACAGTTGAAATCAGAATGATTAGCCCCCCTGAATATTTTTGTGTTTAACGAAGAAATTCCTTCAACACATTTCTAATCTAATCATTTCTAAGAACTGAATACTTTAATCATTGCCGTGTGAGACCAGCAGCAATTTCAAAGGATGACAAGCTGACAAAACGTTGCTCTAACTCTGATACAAGTTTTATTTTTGGAGAAAATTTAAAAGCACTGCAGTGTTTGGGTGTTCTGTGTTTGTCTGTGGTAATTAGTCTACTAAAATATGTATATTTCATACAAAGTCTTTCATTCATTCATTAATTTACCTTCGGCTTAGTCATCAGACGTCACCACAAATTTTCCAGCATATGTTTTACACAGTGGATGCCCTTCCAGTTGCAACCCATTACTGGGAAACACCCATACACACTCATGCACTACGGACCTTTTAGTTTAATCAATTCACCTATATCGCATGTTTTAGGACTGTGGGGGAAAATTAAACACCCGGAAACTGACGCAAACATGGGGAGAACATGCAAACTCCACACAGAAACAGTAATTTACTGCAATTCTTGCGGTGAAGCAACATTGCCCACCACTAAACCACCATGCAGCCCTTCATGCAAAGTTATGAAGCTGATTATCAGTTCTAGTCATGTGACTCGCAGCGCACTCTTGGCAATCTGAAAAGTTTAGATGTTTTAAACTATGAGTGCCTGGAAGGTGCAAGCGCATTTCCCCGTGTGCGCGTTGGTCCCAATATGCGTGCACAAACTGTGCACCTCTTTTGGAAATAACAAACTTGGCACGGAAAAGACATGATATGTGAATGGCCCCTAAGGCCACCGTCATTTGTGATCTCCAGCAGTTTATCTTTTTCTCGCAAAGACATGCTAGATTCAACTGATTTATTGACAAATGATGGAAGGAAGGAATAGACAAGGATCCATTCCTTGTCAATTCATGGGTCCTTCAGAAAGAAACTTTCAAAGACAGCTGTTTCTTACTTATTTTGCTAGCTTGTGGGTCAAATTTTGGCACTCAAGTGACTGAGAGAATGCATTTTTTTCAAAATAAAAGATTCTTCAAAGTAAAACATTATTCAGACTCAGATATTAAATAAAACGGAAATAATGAAAGGTGCTGTATGTATGTTTTTGTATGTATGTTAAAGCATAAAAATACCATAATATGTTTGCAGATATTTTAGAAATATGCCATGGGAACATTCTTGTTTATCTGAAAAACAATGCTGAAGTCAGATATTCTGCTTTGAAAATGCATTACGTGCTGGAACGGCTGTCTTTGTTTTGGTTATTTTAACCTGCCCAATGTCAGTTTAGCCAATTATATTTCAGCACTCCGGATTGCCTTGGTGGAAAACCGCATATTTCATTTATTCATTCATTTTGAAAGGCTCTCAAAGTATGCGCCCTTGACCGAAATGCGAGCTCATGTGGACAATAGCAGACTCCGAAATGAGACACAGATACACAGAGTTCCACATGAAGTGGTTATTAATTTGCAAATAATAAAAATATTACGAACATAAACATTAGGTGAGCACCTTACATTGTATCTCCATATGCTAACAACACGCATCATGATGAAATTTGCAGTGATAAGCAATTTGACTGTTTGCATCAGATGAAACATGACAGAAATTTAAATACAGCTATTCAGAAGCACAGAATATGCACTTATTCACGAAATGATAGGCTTTCTAATCTAATTAATACATAAACCTCTTTAACATTATTAAATGTACATGCTGAATCACTATATGTTAGTTTTGTGTCTAAAGATCAAATTTAAAACCGTTTATTTTATTTTCAAGATCTGATGTGAACTATCTGCTGCTGCTTTCAGTAGTATGGCAATAAATGTCATGTGAAATGGAATTCAAACTCATTTTATTAGCACATAACACTGAATAAAGCACATGAGGTGTACCTGAGGTTTTCTGTTGTCCAGCTGCAAGAAATAGAAGCCATTTCTAATATATCAATTCTACGTGTTGGTTAGAGCAAAAACTCATTTTAATATGGAAAACACTGCTTTTTTTATTTAGGTGCGCGCAAACTGAAAGTTGGGTTCGGTGCGCATGAGGACTTTACCATAAAGCTGAGGAGGGGGGTGGGGGTGGGGGAGTTTTCCAGGAGAAAGAACAATACGGGAGATGGGCAGGAGCAGAGGTCGCGTTAACCGAATATTTTCTGTCATTGACAGATTTTTTTTAGCAGTGATGGAAAAATCAGAAGGTGATCCGTCATTTTGATGGATTATGCTGAGGGTGATCTATTGTAATTTGTAGCTAACTGTAATTCCCACTCCTGTCCAGCTGATGGCGATTGACCTTGTTTTGTCTCCTCTCTGTCACCGCTGCGTACAGTTGCAAAAATGTCACAGCAGCTGAGTGTGAGAAGTTTCTTTAAACGACCAAATAGTTGTGATATTAATAATAAAGGTGAAAAAAGAGGAAGAGATGCAGTGGACAATGAAAAACAAACAGACAAAAATCCTCAGTCGCCGACAGCTGTTACGAGCCAATCAAACGGCAGCAAGGAGGTCAGGTGCTTTGGAGTGCGTTGTGAGCACTACCGAACGCAGAGGGGTGCATTTTTTTTGTTTTTTTTGTTTTTTTAAAGTCATTGGGTGCAGTACAGACGCGCTCCTGGTGCAAAAGGAGCGCGTGCTGTAGTATTGTTTCCTGGTGAAACGAGTGCTTGCAGGATCGGGAAATACCACATTCAGAGAATCCAGCAAACTTTGTTCTGATCACAGCCTTAGGAGAAATGTTTCTTAACTACAAAACGCTGGCTGAAGTGGCGCTAATTCCGGTTTTTGGTCACAAGAAGTTGACTTTCCGAGGCAAAGACACAGAATTTAATGACAACTGCTTCTGCATCAGTCTCCCTTAATGCGTTTGATTATGCACAGGCAAGCACCCAGTTCAGGTCGACGCAGGAGGAAGATATGAGTTAAGGCAGATAGAAATTTTTGTTCATTTGTCAAATAAACAAATGAATAATTTAGCCTATATGCTTGTCATGCATGTTCATTATTAAAATATGAATGAAAAAAGCGATTAGAAAGTCTGCAAATGAAAATAACGATCAATAATAGGTTATGACGGAATTTTTACAACCCTCTCCATCAAAATGACGGACAATGAGAAAGTCTATCGCAACCTCTGGGCGGGAGATGGGTCAAAAATACGGAATACTCCCGAGAAAAACAGGAGTGTTGGCAGGTATGATGTACAGGTACTGGTCCATGGCCACTGCTGTAAACAATCAGAAAAAAATGGCTTAAGGGGGCTAATAATATTGACCTTAAAAATGTTTTTAAAAAACATTTAAACTGCTTTTATTCTAACTGAAATAAAACAAATAAGACTTTCTCCATAAGGAAAAAAACATTCTCAGAAAAACTGAAAAATTCTTTGCTCTGTTAAACATCACTGGGAAAATATTTAAAAATAAATAAGCAAAATAAACAGAAGGACTAATAACTTTGACTTCAACTGGATGTGTTTGCATTTTTCCCTACAGTGTTGAACGGGCCGCCCATGTCGGTGAAGAAAGAGAGGGAGGCCGAGCTCCTGATGGCACGGAGGGAACAGCGCAGTGGGGAGGTGATCTGCATCGATGACTGAATTCAGCAACTCACACACACAAACACACACACACACACATGCTGACTCAGTCAAAGGACATTTGCATGCAAACACAAACACAACTATTCCTGAACACACACACACACACACACACACATATGCACCTGCAGTTTGACGAATGAACAGACTACCCTCAGTATCACGGCAGCACTTTCACAAACAGCTACGCAGAGCTTCAGCTCGCCCTTTGGTTATTTCCTCTCGAACACCTATGTGCACATACACACACACATGCACACATACAAAATATTTGATTTCCTTTCCTCTCATAACTATCAGCCTCACATTTCAGAGGAATCCACACGCTCATGCTCATCTGAAGTCCCGTGCCCTCACTAGTGCCCCACGACACAGACATGAAGCTGCATGTATGTGGAAGAGCTTCATATCACCCGCAGTGATTTGTTTTCCAACAGCATGCATCTCGCAGTCCACGGTTCAGTCAAGAGAAAACGCCTGTGCCCGCTCTTGCATAGTGCAATCTTTCAAGAAATCCCTCATCGCAAGCTAGCGTGACTGTTTCGGAGCTGCCATGTCCCATAAACAAGCTTCAAGCAGTCTTCTTAAAGGGAGTGTTCAGCCTAAAAGATTCCTGTCATCATTTAGCCATCCTCAAGTTCTTCCAAATCTTCCCTTGTTCTGTTGAGAATTGAAGAACGCTCGCAACTACTAAACTATCAACATATAGCCATTGATTTTCATTGTGTTTTCCTCCTACTGTGAAAATGAATGGCTATACTGTAGCATTCTTCAAAATGTGTTCAACGGAAGAAAAAAAAACTCTAATTTATTACATGTTTTGTCTGTATAATGAATGTATCTACACAATGAATATAATGGGCATTGTTGCATCCCATTGATGTTCATTTAATGGTCAAAAAACACATAGAATATATTTTGTGTGAAAGTCAACCATGTGTGGAATGACATTGAGTGAATGATGGCTGAAATTTCATTTTAGGTGAACTGGCCCTTTAAGAATGTGGGCTTTCAGCATGGTGGTGATTTAGTTTGGGAGGATATATATGTATTTTACTGTAAAAAATATGGGGGGGGGGGGGGGGTATTAAACATTACCCTGGCCAACTTTGAGAAAAAAAAAAAACGAGGTAAAATTTATGACCTACCACGACAGTAAAGAAGTAATGTATTATGTTCAATTCAATCAGTATTGGCTGCAGTATTGTCTTGCGCTAAAAAGACAGTATGTAATGAAGTTTATTTCGCCTTATATTGGGATATCGAGCATTGAAATGTAAAGTTCCCTGCCTTTTTTAAAGTATTGACCCTTAATCTAGTGTTACAGTGGGGTGAAGAGGGTTCAAAAGCATCTTCGTACCTCCCCAAGTGTTATCGAAGCACGTTCAGCAGTTCTACACTTCATTCTCTCTCATCACTTCATCCTCACCTTTCTCATTCAAACCAATTGCTCACATCTCACTCCTATCCTTTATTCAAATTTCTACTTGTTTTTACGAGCTCTTTGATATCGTTTGCGTATTTAAACTCGGTTTCATTGTGTTCTCCTGTTTTTAATCCTTGTTATTACAACTAAGATTATTGTTGTTGCTCTTGATGTTGTCCTTGATGTTACATTTGCGAAGCTTCTACCAAATGAAAATAATAATAATAATAAAAAACAGTCGAAACATTGACGCATTGTATGTTTGGTCCATCACATTTCTCTATATCGGACCTCTTGTAAAAGAATATTCCACAAAGGGGTCGAAAGGACTTGGGAATAATCGATATCATCGCTATCCTACAGACTTCGCTTATATCTACAGTAGATTCGGGGCTTGCAAACAAATAACCTGTATGCAGTGGATCACATGTAACCAGGAAATTGAAAACATATGAATGCATATATTCAAATCTGCAATTGAAATTCCTTCTGCAATGTTTCTTTGGCTCCTACAAAAGTAAAGCCTTGTAATGTTACCGCCTTAAATGGTAATACAGCTGTAAAGCGTTAATGAGCAGATGTGAACTCTGTATATGGCTGCGGTTGCACTATACCTAGCTAGGCCTCAACTCAAGACAGATCATGAGTTAAAATGTTAATTTATTTGCCCCGTTCCCCAGTATAGTTCTGAAATATCGTTCATTTCAGTGCTTGGTTTTATTTGGGAGAGTTGCGTCAAATCAAGCACTTTCTGTCCTTTTTTTCATTTCTGTCTTTTAACGTTTTTTTTTTGTTGTTGTCAGTATTTTCTGCATTTTCTTGCTAAGAGTCACTGTGTACATTGTGTGATTCCAGACAGTCAGTGACATTGTTGTGATCAACATTTGGCACACCGAACGGAACATGTTAATAATGCATCTTTCTCTCTTTTGTTTTGTTTTGTTTGTAATAAAATAAAATAAAAAACAAATAAATGATTTCTGTTTTCCTGTGCTTGTTATATAGTAAAGGAAACTGCAAGGATCCAGGCTGAATTACTGAAATGGCTGAAAGGGCTACTACTCACTATTTGCTTTTTTGTAGACACGATTTACTGATTTGGTCACTTTTAAATCATATTCTTAAATTCTCATGTTGGTTATTTTTGGTTAAGTAAATTACAGTGTGGGAACAACCAAAACCTTCCCATGTTAAAATATTTATTAATTTGTTTGTAACAAGACAAGCTAAAACCGTGCTGAAAAAACAGCTTAAACCAGTCTGGGCTGGATGGCTGGTTTTAGCTGCTCGACCAGCCTTGTTTTGGAGGAGTTTTGGCCATTCCAGGCTGATTTCAAGCCATTTCCAAGCCTGGCCTTAGCTAGTCAGGCTGGGAGATGACCAGCTAAAACCAGCTTAACCCAGCTTAAACCAGGCTGGAAATGTCTGGAAACCAGCTTGGAATGGCCAAAACCTCTCTAAAATCATGCTGATCAACCAACTAAAACCAGCCAAACAGCTAAAGTTGGTTAAAGGCCGATTAGGGCTGTGCAATTAATCGAAAATCTGATTCCGATTTTGGTTTCTAACGATTATGAAAAACCATTAATCGAGATAAACAATTATTGCATCTTATACCACCCCCTTTCCAGTTGTACACATTTGTTGCTCTTAAAAGCACGAAAGACCGCATGCTTCTGTGTGTGTGCGGAGCATCTGAACATAATAGAATTGATAACTCATTTCTAATAACTGATTTCTTTGATCTTTGCTATGATGACAGCACATAATATTTTACTAGACTTTTTTTTTTAACTAGAATCATTCAGATTCAAAAAGGCGATTCAAATGCTTAATTAGGGTAAAATAAGAGTAATTAGGCAAGTCATTGTATAACAGTGGTTTCTTCTGCAGACAATTAAAAATATATGGCTTAAGGGGGCTAATAATATTGACCTAAAATAGGTTTCAAGATATTTAAACCTGCTTTTATTCTAGCTGAAATAAAACAAATAAGACTTTCTCCAGAGGAAAAAATATTATAGGAAATACTGTTAAAATTTCTTGCTCTGTTAAACATCATTTGGGAAATATTTATTTTACAAAAATTCTTAGGAGCGCTAATAATTTTGATTTCAACTGATAATCATTTTGAATAATCGTGATTATGATTTTTTTCCAAAATCGAGCAGCCCTAGGGCCGAACACACCGAACACGCTTTTTTTCAGCAAGCATTTTGTGCGCTGCTTATGTGCCCTACAAGCCTTGCGTTTGAACCGCCTACTGGACCTTGCATTTTCACCATTGCACACTGTTTTGCTCGCAGTTGATTAAAGTCAACTCTGAGCAGAAAAAGCACGTCTTTTTCATTTTCCCTAATCAAATGCGGGCAGAGGCAGGGTTTCCGTTGAGGTAACAGCAGTGTTTGTGTTGTCAAGACGACTATGGAGACTATTAAAGCTGAAAGAAAGACTAGTGGTTACTGTTTTGAGCTATCTGCAGCTGTATGACTTCACAAATCTTGAATATCACAATATTATTAAATAATAAAATGATACCAATTTTAACAGCAACACTTGCACTCAATAGGCAGCTGATTCAGTCATTGCCTAGCAACATACATAGCGCACCACACTTCTTTTTTCTTGTTAACAAAAAAAGCAGTTTGCTGCGCCTCGCATGTTTGGAACGTAAAAGCGCGTTCGCTGTGATCGGCCTTTTAAGCTGTTTTTTTCAGCAGGACTTATGTGTATGATCCTATCCTAGAAAACTTACATCTACAAAAAGAAAACGTAAGACAGAACATCCGAGGGCATTCAAAGAACCAGAAACTAAAACGTTCTGTGAACCAACATTGGATTCTTTTCACATTTGCGGGTTTCACAGTAGCAGAAGTCGTCGTAGTTGGGTAAACTTAGAGCACAGTGAATGGGACCAAACGACAAGTAATTTTTTTACAATCCCATTTGCTGAAATAATAAAAGAAAAACTCTATGATGGTGTTATCAAGACTTTCAGATGAAGGAAAAAATTATGTGAGACTGATAACTACAGACAGAGGAGAGAATGTCAAATGGTAATTTGCACAAGTGGTAAATAGTTTTTTTTTTTTGTAATTTGATACAAAGATGATATAATACATACAGTATGTGAATACATATTTGTACATATGTTTTTTTTATCTAAATGTTAAAAACTTTAAAGGATTCAAGATTATTATGATGACCGTTAAAAACATCCTAACAGTCTTGTGTAAGGGTTCATAGTGGTTGCTGCTATATCAGATATGGTTGCAGCCGGTGTTCTGTCAATTGTCCTACCTTTTCAGATTGTCCTACCTTCCATTCAAAAAGTAGGTAGCACATTTTGATGACACAATATGCTCCCCATCAGATTTAGCTACCAGTGTAAATTTTCATGAGGAGAAGTGTGATATTAAGCTGTAATATTGCCCTAACCCACCTAATCCCTAACATCAGCTAACCTTAAACTCAGAGCCATTCAATTACAGTGTTGGTAGCATAATCTGATGGTAGGATAAAATGTTAGGACACCTGATTTATTAAATTTCTCATTAATTGTATTTAACATCTACCCCTTCCCCAACCCTAAACCCAACCGTCACAGTAAAGTGAAAACAGGAGTTGCACCGAGTATTATTTATGTTATTTATTAAATTACTCAATAAATTATATATTTTTAATGTATACCCCTAACCCAATCCAACCATCTCTGTAAAAATATTATTGTAAAAATTGACGCGATATGTGCGTATCAGCAGCCGAAAGTTAAAGAAAATCATTTACATTGTTTTTTAAATTTCCCATTTATTGTATTTTATTAACCTCTAAGTTACCACTACCCTAACCCCAACCTTCACAGTATCGTAAAAACAGTAGTTGTACCTCGTGTTGTTATCTATTAACTTACCCAATAAATTGTATTTTTAACGTCTACTCCTACCATAACCCTATCCATCACAGTATTGTTAAAATATGAATTATTGTTTTACTGTGTCATAAAAACTGCTGTTATATTGATGTGCATATTGCACTTCCGGCCGGCTGTGTATCTTATCTAAGTTAGGCTTTTTACCCTGAATGAAACAACGAACGCAGTGCAAGCTGGGTTATTCAATTCAACGAAAAAATTACTCATATAAACCGTTGTAATGAGTGAGATTATTACTCACGAAACAGCCTTAAACTCGCTCGTGTTTCAGTAGTTCGACGTTCAGATCTTCTATTCAAAGGACTCCTCGCAAAACAAGTAAGTTGTCGTTTGCTTCTTTCTGATTTTGACAAAGAAGAGCCAATCTTCTCACAAATGACTGTTTCACGAACAAATGACTCTTATGAACAAGTTATTTTTAATCCTGCAGGATGGTTAATGAATTTACAACTGACTCACCCACATTTTCACGAGTCTTGCTTCTGTGCGACTTTACCGTTAAAGCTGCAGTCTTTATTTTAATGTAAGAGCGAGCGCGGCCATCTTAACATGAATGTAGGCTAACGTTACGTCTTATTATTTGTTTCCATCTATATTACATTGCAGTTTAAAAAGGTACGTTGCTGTTTTATTATGCAAACTTTGTATTTGCTCTCATATTTTATTGTAGTGTTATTAACCATACATTTGTTGTCCAAATAGTTTTACGGTTTTTATAATGAATGTATCTGTTTCTTACACAAGAAAAAGCTGTGATGCTGCAAAATAAGATGGATCCATAAGGCAGGTGTTTTTGTCTGGAGCCATATTTGACTACACAGCATATTTACATCCAGGTAATTGTTGAATTATTATGGTTATGTATATTTTCTACTTTTCAAGTTGCTTATTTGTCCTTTGACTTATTTTATTTATTTTAATGTAAGGTATGTAACACTGTTACCTAGGGCTTTGAAAATCTACTGAATTTCATTCTTGATTCATTCTTAATGGGCTGTATGCACAGCCAGTGTTTTTCAACTTATTATGAACCTGCAGAGAAAGGTTTATGTGACTTTTCAATTTTACAGGATACTTTTACAGCATCGATGTTGTAATGTAATTCAAATATAACTAGTTAAATACACTTAAGCATCCATTTGGCTGTTAATGAGTAAAAAGAGACAAAAGACTGTTGAATCGCAGCCGCCGTCATTAGCAGCATGCGAGCCGAGTGCAGAAACTCCATTGAAAACACTGCAGTTAGGCATGGGATGGTATAATATTCTGATGGTATGATAACCTTGGAAAAAAAATATCACGGTATTGTGATTACTGTTTTAAAATATATATTTTTTAAATGTCTGTGTAAAAAAAATCCCCTTTGAAAACAATATATGAAGAGTTCAAATGCAATATGATTATGTTGAGTTATTTCATTTTGTGTGTGTTTATTCCATGTGCGTGTATATAGATATATATGTATATAATTTTATTTTGTTGTTTTTTGTTTTAAGATTTATAAAATTTTGGAGCAGTAAACATGTCAGGCTGAATAATGAAAATGACGCATTGACTTCTGCTGTCTTCATTTGTTTCCAAAACACTGATTTCTTTACAATTTAAAAGCTCTTTGGATATTTTTTCTGCTAGAGATACTGTTGTCCTAAAAAATGTAAATAAAAACTCTTACACATACCTTAGGAATGGTATTACAGAAAATGTTGGTGGTTTTAAAACCTTGACTTTTACAAACCGCAGTATACCTTGAAAATGGTTATCATCCCATACCTACACTGCAGTAAAACTAATTTCTATATTTCTATATTTTTTTATAATTTCTATAAGACATGGCACAGAAAAATAGAATTTAACACAGTGCTTCTAGTTTGGTCTGATGCACACTTCATATTGTATCTCAGCCAGGCAGTGAAGATCGCTGATTTTTAAAGAAATCAGATCTTAAATGCCGTGATTTTATTTATTATTAATTTTATTTATTTATTTTATTTTTTATTTTTTTATAAGATTTCTATTTACCAGAAGTCCTGGAACTGGCT